CTTGATTAAGATCTATTAATTCGTCTTGTTAATAAACTGATCATTACATCTGTCTTGAAATTACATATTGAAATTGGGCTATATTCTAGCTAGTTACAACAAGAACACTATCATTACCTACCTTTAGATTAACTTTGAAATAGTAATAGATATCTTCTTGTTAATAAACCTTTTAAAAGACTCTCCCAAACATCGTTTTAAACACGTGGTCGCTTTTATCATGTGTTTTTGTAATATTAGGTTTAATACTCACCCTCATCTCAGAACTTGCACCAAAAAGGTAACAATATATTATATTTTTTATTTTCATTATTTTTCAGTATTTTTATCTTAAATCATATTGTATTTCTTTTTTAACATTTTTTAATATATAAGATTATATCATATTAGTATTTTTATTATTATTTATTTTATATAACTTTTAATATAATCTTTTTTTTTATTATATTCTATTATTTTATAAATATTATATCTTAATAATCCAATAATAAATCAATTTAAATTAATATTTCTTTTAGCAAATAAAAAAAGTTAATAAATAAAAATATATATAAAAAATATTCTTTAAACTTTTAAAAAAAATAAAAATAAATTTGCATATAAGCTTTTTTTTAAATAATAAATTACTTATTAAAACTCTTTTCATAAAGATATTTATTATTATAAATCATTATAGATTGATTAGATTCTTTATATTAGAAAAGATAACATTATTAATTTGATTCTTTTATGCCAGAAAAGAGATTATTAATTAAATTCTTTGTGCCAGAAAAGATAACTTATTGATTAGATCCTTTGATTTAAAAGAGATGAAATACATCATTAATTGATTTAAATAATACAAGTTTTAAGAACTTTGGCTAAAACAAGCATTTAATTAATGAATAAATTAGTTAATAATTAGTAAACATAATTCTCTTCTCCCTTCTTCTAATTATTTACATTACTCTCTCTTGAAACACACAATTACACAATATTCATAAATATCAGCACAAAATTTAGACCAACAGGTAAAATTAGTCTAATCATCCTCTCCCACCCATAGTCACAGTTCTCAAAATTTCTTAAATCCACGTAATAAACCCACCTGTGACAGTACATGTATTTGTAGTATTTACTGGACGTAGGAAAATCAATTGCTGATTGAATAAATTGTTGAATTATTATCAACCCGGCAAAACAAATCCGACACAAAGACAAACCTATGCATTCTATGCATTGGTGTATTAATAATGTTTGGAAGAAACTTTTTTGATCTCAACCCTGACCTTAATTATATTACAAAGAATGTTTTTTCAATCAGTAAAAACTTTGAAATATGATTAATATGATTGTAAAATAAAAAGAAATTTTTGTACTTTACAAAGCTACATGCGCATATTATTCAATTTTGCTCGTAGCAAAATCCTTGATAAAATCCCAAACACGCCTCCACGTTGATTACCGCGGACAATATCCCCGCTAATAGAGATAGAGCGTCAACAAAGTGAACCTTGTTCCTGTAATTGCCAAATGAAATCGGCTGGATCCGAATATGGTTAATTATTCCGTAATTTCGTATTTTTAAAGCGTAGCATAGAATAATGAACGTGATTATTATATCAATTATGATTGCATCAACAGATAATAGTAAATCCGAAATAATAAATAAGTAAATAATAAATAAATAAATATATATATGTGATATTCATATCTTGTTCAGGATAAAGATCAGAACCAGATTTAATTTCGAGATTACCGAATAATAAAATTATTTTTAATGTTCTAAATCATAAATATTACTGTCTAAACTGTCAAAATTATTTTACCAAATTGTAATTGTCCCATTTATACTATTATTGTTCTGGTGTACTACTATTATTCATATGCGTTTCAAACTTTTAATTTAATTTATTAATTTCCTGCTGAAGACGTAATCCTTCCTCGTCTTCACTCATTCTAATTTACAATTTACCATAAAAAGAATTAATAATGACTCACTAAGCAAACCGAAAAGCGAGCTTACCTTGGAAAATCTTGCCCACTATTCCGGTGAGTATTTTCAGCATCAACACTGTGTCTTTGATCGAAATAATCTTCGCCATCTGGATCATCGCCAATATCAAAAATTGCATGATCATCTTCTTCATCAGCAATCGTGCTGTTATTTCCATTACTACCCGGATGATCGCGATACTTTACATTGTCATATCCTAAATTTTCGGCCGTGCGGAGATTATTAATCTCCACATCTTCCACGTCTTCCTGTCCTAATTCATCACTCATCGCGAATGTATTTTCCCAGTTAATTAAATAATATATACGATTGGTTAAAATAATTAAATAAAATGAGGAATAAAAAAAGGATATCGTTTGTTATTCGCCGTTGGCCGCCATAAAATAATAATCACAATAAAAACAATCAGATACAGGATATTCAACCATCCATCAAGTAAAAACCACTTCCAATGCCAATATTTCGTACTATAATCCGGATCCTCTCGGTGCCAATAATTTATCAGATTTATCACGAAAAATACGCCAAGCACACAAACCGAGAATAAAAGTAATCGAAATAGACGCCGATACATTAATGCCTTCACGTTCTGTCGTCGTATTTCAAGCGTCTGTATTGTCTGAGTTAATGATTGTAGTGTCCACATGTGAAAGATTGTCATTGTAAGCGCGAGAGGGAATATAACCAATAAGACTAGTGGCCCGCTGGTATCTGGATTAATTGTCATTGTGCCAGCTGCATATATCACGCCAAATACAAAGTGTGCACCAGCTAATATCCGACATTTTGTCATCGTGCTTCCTAAAGTGGGTCTGTTGAACAATGATCAATATGTATTTGTGGATTAACAAGTTCATAACTATATTAGATAGGCTTAGTAGCTTACTTTACAACACCGTATCCCATACAAACGATTAAAAGCATGAAAAAGGATATTGAATTTCGTCCCGCGTTCAACACTGCGACAATCCATAGTAAAACTGTAGCTATAATTATTAAGAGATCACGTCAATTTATGAATTCAATTTCATGTGTAATCTGTCAAATAACAAAAGTGTGCCTCCCATGACATGGAGTTCGACAACTTACACGGTGATCCATATGCATTATAGTTTTCCCAATATCCCCAATTAAACGCCATCTCAATCATCAGGAATAGAATTACACCTGAAATGTAGTTCTAAATAAATATATCAAAACACCAGATATTAATATGATTTTTCCAATTATTTGCAATATATTATATTTACCTGTACTGGAAGAATTTCTCGCCAATGCATTATGCTTAGTGACATCCATACGACCCCTATCACCAAATATACTAATGACAATAAACCGTAAAACTACAATGGTGTGTAAAATAAAAAAGATGTCTTAATCGATATTGTATTTATTCAATGTGAATTTTATTATGCAAGATCAGTAAATTCCGTAGATAGGCAGCCATTCGACACTGATCTCGATTATACACAATATTTATAAAGGTTGTTACAGTATAATTTACTACTCCAGAATACCTTCTTATTCGTTCTTAAGATAACCTAGCGCCGAAAAATTGACAAATACACAATTCTCTATAATCAATACTCCAAACAGTAACTATATTGCATTGAAGTGAAACTAGTCGATTTTTACTATTATTTTCTTTCTATGACGTATTCTTTGAATGACCTCCATCTTGAGAAAAATTCCAGAGAATAAATAATCGAGCTTCAAATTCATATGCCCGTCCTCAATATTAGATTACTAAATCTGTACTCATACAAATATTAAAGTCCATCAAATTGGCAGAGGATTGACGCAAAATAGCCAATTTTTTACTGCACAAATTAATGCGACTCTTCAATAACTTTGTGCCCAAATATAATTTCATGTTCAGAGTAAAAGATATTATTTAAAACAAGAAATACTAGCTTTCTTTTACTCACCGGTAATTTCGGATAGTCACTGCCAGGTAGCTCACCGTATGGATTCCGCCAATCTATAATTGCGGTGAAGGTACTATCATTTTCCACATTTTTCACCTTCTTAGCAGTAACACAATAAAATCCCGTCTTTTGCACTTTATATGTATATGTTGTTTCATTATTTGTAAAGTTGAAGGTCTTTGCATCAATAGTTCCCCGATCTTTGTCTGGTAGAATGAAACCTCCCTCTGTGTCATTGCAATATTCCATGCTACGAGCAAGATCGGTACAGGTTAAATATGTAATCTATAATGATTAATTCGAGAGTTTTGTGGTTGATCAGTTCAGGGAAAAGGAATTAAAATAAAGGGTTCATCAATGGTGAAAATAAGCATCACCCCTTCTTCGTCGGTATATCCTAGTTTAGACGCATCTGCACTTTCGAAAAAAGCTACAGCAACATTTCCAGTAGGAATAGTCTCAAATTTTGCTGCAAAAATGTGACAGAAGGTAAATATATTATTTTTTCCCTTTGAATAATTTCTTTTTTTTTACCTGTAATGGAAGGATCCACGCCTCCCGGGATCGCGCTTTTCGCAAACATTCCCTGACATATTTCATAGTAATCTTCTTTCTTTACAGGATCACGAAAAAAATCATTCTTTTGAATAAACACGTAACAATTTAGTAGTAATTAACAGAGATTATTATATATTTTTACCAACTCGTACACTGCTGCTCGAGCAACTGCTATACACAAGGCAGCAAACACATAACCGGAAAACACCAGTCTTTTTAGAATATGCTTCCCGAGCATGTTTGAAACTCAAATTTTAAACGCAGAACGAAATAACGAAAATTGGTGTGGCTGCCCATTGTCTCGACAAACTGAAATGAAATTTATGCAATGTTGATGGCGCAGCCCGGAAAACTTTACCGTTAGCATGTCCGATGTGAAAAATGATTTTGTTTAGTTACAAAATTACTAATTTCTGATTGTTTCAAAATTAACGTTAAAGACCGATGATCATATATAAAATTGTCTCTTTTTAAATTAATGCACCGTCTTTTTGCCGGGTTGATCAAAAAATTTTTGGCTCTCTTAATGGTTATTTTAGGTGCAGTCAGCCAATCAGCGATGAGATTTACCTACGTCCAATCGATTTGTATAACACTAGTAGTATAACACACACCTAACAACCAAAGCTAATTCTAGCAATGTTTTTAACTAAATTTGCCAATATTGTAAAAGTTATTTGGTGCCTGGTAAGTGTGTTAGTAAGTGCTATCGTTTAACAGGCTTCAATAATAGTCAACAATCAGATCACACGCCTGAGCATAATAAACTTGTGCAGAAAACACAAAAATTCATCAAAAAATTACTACCACTGATGAATTATTAAGAATCAAAATTTCTAGTTAACCTCTTGAAACTTGACCGATGAAGCGTTCAAAATGTTAAGATGTTCGTCATCAGGTCAAACTGGTAGAAATGCATACGATAATATTGATCAAGTGATCAATACTAGTCACAATATTATTGTGATGAATTTGTAGCTTCACAAAAGGAATGACATAAAAATGCGTGCCAAGAGGCCGAAAACGAGATGTTCAACAAAGCTGAAGAAGCCTGCGCTCGTAAATTAGTAGAATGGGGTAGTGACCCAATTGAATATTACAAGTTGGTTGTCCAATTGTTGAATAGTTGGATATTCTCCAAATATTAAAGTAGCTGGAGGACCAAGCTGGTCATACAACAGCAGCAGCAACAACTGATTGAACAACAATAGCAACAATCTGAACAACAGCAGCTCAGCAAGAACCTAATCAATAATCAACAACAACAGCGTCAAGACACCAATCGGCGCAACAGCAGTGTCAAAACAATAATTATAACCAGGCTAATTCTCAAGTACGGGGCAGCTATTATCCGACCAATTCCGACCTAATCGTGATTGGCAACAATATTGTAATCCGTATTATAAGCCTCGCAATAGTACTAATTTTTTATTCGCACGTCAAGGTACTATTAAAAAATCAATCAAGTTAATTCTCAACCGAGGAGCAGCTTTAACCCAAGCGTACGTTATTGGTTGATTTACGAAATCAAAAGTAATCGATACAATCGAAAAGGGTAATACTAGTTTTATTTATGATTGTCTACAATAATGGTAACTATCAAATTATCATTGATAGACATAAAGAGATTAAGCCTCAAGCAAATCGTCTTGAACGAAGACGATGTAATTAGAGAAAGTAAACAACAAGCTGAATCATGGTCATAGTGAAGCTACCGCAACAGCAGGCGCCAATTATTACTAACGTTAACTAACAATATAACTATGGTAAAATACGATTCGGCGAAGTCGGACCCTACAAACTTTAATCGATTTAGTAAAAATGGCCGTGCAACAAAAAGTTCAAAATTTTTTGCAGTCATCGGTGATTAGGATTCTGTAACTGGTCTTACCGCTGGTATCGCACCGCAACCTTCAAGTTAAGCACGTTAATTTGAAAAGGAATCTAAATTGTCTTCGAATATATGCATTCGAAGATTCGACCTTAATCCCAAATACCTTCGAAGTATTATCAAACCTCGATAATCCCATCGAGAGCATCGTTACATTAAATTTCTCTACTGCCGAAGATAATTCATTATTAATGAATTGTTGAATCTTGAAATTAAAAATAATGATTCCGGTGAAAAGAAAAAGAAAGATTCGCAGGAATGGTCTGGTAATACAGTGAGTTGTGTTCATGCCTATCAAATGATCTTAAATCTCAAGCATAGTGCAATCGGATTCAAGACTACATTCTATGATCAACATTGGCCCGCACAACGAATGCAAGAATTTCTCGTATTAGGAAGTCAACCTACGAGATAAACTCTATTGTAAACAAGATTAGTATATTACAAGAAATTGATTCCGATCAAGTAGTCACTGAGCTGCTGCTTCATCGAAAATATTTTTTACAATGATCGTAGAGATCTTAATGCATTAGACTAAAACGAGTATTTCGTGACAATTATAAAGGTTTACATAAGAAGTGCTGTGAAGAGCCGCAATTCCGATGTAAATATTATAAACGTTGAGTTGGCGCATAAAGTTCTAAATCTATTATCTTCAATAAGACAGTTCTCCCTGAACAGCCGGAATTTGTCTTAAAATCAATTGTTCTAAAGTTCGTGGAACACATACTTTTTATTGTGATGATTGCTGATAAGTTATTGGAGGGGCTGGACAATGGAATAACAAAAACGACGTTGAGAACATTATATAACATTATATTGAATATGAATAATCTCTCTCTCACAATAATGTATTGTTTATGGGGTTGAGAACGTTCAAAGTTTCATTCAGTGTCACGATCTTTTCAAGGAATATTACGATGTCAACTACCACAATAACTCGCTCACGCTTCCACAAATCAAAGTAATTAAAAGTTCAGGAGAAACTACAGTTGCCAAGACAAAGAAGTGCCTACGCCGCCTACATCTCCAAATAATCTAGAAGTAACTGCTGAAACAACAAATGCAAAAAAACTACAAAACAAACTAGAGATCTCAAGCCAAATAACCCGGAAGCATCAATAACCGGAGAATCTCATAACGACTCATTTAATAAAAATTCGCTTAACGACTCGCTCAACACAAAAGAAAGCTGAAATCGAAGGATTGTGTAAGTTTGCGCCTGACGTGACCCAGGATTTCTGGAAATACGCTGAATCGGTTATTATGCACAGATCGTGCCGCCTACATTCTCGTTAGAATTATCAATCATTTACGAAAAAGTTAAAGATACTATCGAGGAAAAAAATTAACTTTAATAACAGTAACTCTTCTGGGAGCAGTGGACCCATGATAATCAATCCGATCCTTTCAGAAAAACTCTAAAAATATGAAAAAATATTAAATTATAAATGATTGACTTTGTTTTAGTATAAAACAAAAATTATTTCTTAACGGTTCTGGTGAAAACCCTAAATCGAAACTAAATCCTTCGCAAAAACTCGGTGAAGAATCAAATGACACCAATTTAGGTGTGAGTTTTAATCATCTGAAAAAACGTATTGGTAAATATTTGAGAAGACAACTTACGCCATCTGATCCTGTCGTCTTGCAAGCTATCGAAGATTGGGTACTTTGTGAAAAGGAAACCCGCAAATAAATGCTATCGAGCATTTTGGAATTTAAGTTGGGAATTTAAGGGTAATCTTAGCATTACAGTATATTCATATTCTATAGGACAAATTTATCCGATTTTTGTCTTCCCTTTAATTTTAAATTTTATATATATATATACACAGTATCGGAGGGAATTGACTTCGATGATACTAAAACAAGGATAATCAAACCGAAAAATGAAAGGAACAAAAACATTGAATCATCCAACGACTTTGGTGATATCAATAACGAATACTACAAGGAAATCGGGGAAGGATGACTTTAATCTAAAACGATACAACAAAAAAAAACGATGAAAATTTAAAATGGAACAACTTTAACGGCAATCTTAATAGAAAACTTTGACGGCAATGTAATAGAAAACTTTAACGGGAATTGTAATAGAAACCACAATGACGGCCTGCTAAGTGGAAATAAGGGAACGGTTGAATTTAGTAACGGAGAAAATAATAATAAATACTACCAAGAGGCAAAAGAAGAGAGACAAGAAATCGATAATGGAAATAATAACGAAAATTAGATTAGGTGATGTCTTGATGGAAACGGCAACGTCAACAATATGCGTGGTGATTTTAATAACAATGATAATGCAAATGGAAATCTAGGATGCGGACATAGAAACTTTAATGAACACTTCAACAACGGATCGTTCAATGGTAACAACAGTGGAAATGATAATTGTGAATCCGATAGCTACAACACGAAGATAACGCGGAACTTAACGGAATAATACCAGTGGACGCTGTCTACTGTATTGGAGAAATGCAGCTAACATTATGTCTAGGCGTTAATAAAATCACGGGAAGGGCAACCCAGTGTTATGCAAGTCTAATTGTAATACAAAAACTGCCATCATCGCGTCTGACCTTCCAAAATTTCAATTATACGTTTTCGCGAGTTAGTTGAGCTGTCAAGATGTAATTTTTTTTCCGAAACTCATGTGAGAGTACTAATAATAATTAAGCATTAATATAATTATAACAAGAAATAACCGCTAATACAAATATTATAACTTAATAATCACAGAGAAGCTAGAATTATTAAGATATCTATCTTTAATGGTAATAATTAGGACTTAATAGATTGGTTAGAAGAATTTACAAGAGCATGCAATGTTAATAATATAATTGATAATAGAAAAATAGCTATAATACTTGCTTATCTTAAAGATTTTGTATTAATGTGATAGATTACTAATCAAGCCTTACAAGCTAATGATAAAAATAAAATAAATATCTGAACTGAAAAAAATAATTAGACATTATTTTCTTCGAGTATTTAAATCTGAAACTTATAAAAATCTGAATTACTAAATTAAAGAAAATAATAAAGACAAAATGAAAGTATTAATTCTTATACTAATATATTACAAGAATTCTATAAAAAAATAGAAATCAATAACTTTTAATATTTAGAAAATATCAAAGCAAGAAGATTTGTAAATAATCACTTATCAAAATTATAGTAACTTGCTAAAGAAATAGAATATGAAAAAAAATAATGAGATTCAAATATCTTATTATTAAAGAATTATTAAAAATCAAAAGAAAGTGAATTTTATTTATTAAAATATAATTTTTATTTTTATTTATCTTTTAAAATTAAACTAACTTAAATTTTTAATTTTTTTTAGTATTCTATCTATTATGATCAATCTTAAGAATAATATTTAAAAGCAAATTTCTTCTTAAGAAAATATTAGTTATTATTAAAAAAATCATATTACATATTGCTAAATTAAAATTATCATTTTATATATTTATTATTAGAAAATTTTTTGGGATGATTTATATCAATTTTTATTATTAGTTATATATTGATATATATTGGAATTGTTAATGCATATCAAAATAGATATTTAATATATATTGATATATATATTAGAGTTGTCAATATATATTATTTAATAAAGTATATTATTAAATATCATTATTTAATGAAATATATTGTTAAATATTATTATTTTATGATATATATCATTAAATATTATTATTTTATAATGTATTATATATCATTAAATATTATTATTTAACAAACTAGATTATTAAATATCATTATTTAATGATATAGATCATTAAATATCATTATTTAATGATATAGATCATTAAATATCATTATTTAATGATATAAATTTGTTAAATATTATTGTTTAATGATATAGATCATTAAATATCATTATTTAATGATGTAAATTTGTTAAATTAACTTATTTTATTAAATATTATTATTTAATAATTT